GAAACCAGATTCACTTAGGATAATTGGTTTTGAATTCAAGCAAAGCCTCAAGGCAGTACCTCCTCTAAGACTAGCTTAACTCCCTTTTGGAGACCATAAACAATATTGCTCTTGAGGATGGGTGTGATTACTGGGAATGGGATTCGAGTTGTAACAAAAGCTTCTCAGTGAAATCCTTCTACAAGCTCATTGCTTCCTCAAGTCGACATGAGGAGGGGAACAATGTGAACTAACCCTATGATCTTGCGTGGAGTCCAAAAATTCCATCTAATGTAAAATATTTTACATGGTGTTTACCATGGAATAGAATACTGACAGTGGACAAGCTTCGTGAGAGCGGTGTGAACATTCCAAATAGATGCGTCATGTGTAAGAATGCAGAAGAGAGTATAGCACATTTATTTTTGCACTGTGATACTGCGAAAGTATGGATGATTCTGACAGGTTGCAGCAACCGCACATGGGTGATTATTCAGAGTAGCACTACTGTCACTGAACTACTACAGAAGTGGCCAAGTATGAATGGGTCAGGTTTGGCTATAAAATTGTGGGGAATAATTCCATACGTGATTCTGTGGATCTTGTGGACTTCAAGAAATGGGTTAATTTTCAAGCATGAGGAATTAGATAGTGGGAAACTGGTTCAAACCATGAAGGCTGCAGCTTGGTCATGGCTAAATATGGACCTATCGGCAATGGAATTCAGGAAGAACCGTTCATTTGGAGAGCTTTTGACGGACTGGGAAGGGTGATGATTGATCCTGGGAGATGCTAAGACCTGTGATGCAGAAGAGGATGTTGTTCTAACAAACAACAAGGCGAACAGAGATGGTTACAGGCATAGATGAAAATACCGCAATATATCGCGAAATTTCGGAGAAACATTCTGCTTTTTGAGAGATCGGATCGATACGAAACATGGTTTAATCCAGATAATTTAACCTCCAATAATCCAGTCGAAAAAACAAATATTCGCGAATATCAGCCTAAAATCTAATAACTTCTTGTGAAATTAATGAAATTAAAGGAAGAAGTAAAGAGAGTCGAAGAGAGAGAATGGGGTTATAAAAAAAAAGGGAGAGAGAACGGAACGAGAGTTAAATTAATTAATTTTCTGATGCAATTGTAGTGCATCTCGCAGTGGCGGCCTTGCAAGTCTGCAATTAATTTGATCTACAAAAAGAACCAGATATCATTAAATGAAAATAGAAATTCACTCTTATCTCGTATGCAGAAGAGAGAAGAAGAAGCACTTGTTGCGCTGGTAAAGTTTAGGCTATTAACAGAGATAATAGTTTAGGTTAACCTTGTTTAAGTAGGAATTTTTTATATACCATTAGATTAGATCAGATACAGGTTGAAGTAGTTGGTAAATAAAAACGTGGAAGAGAGCCAAGAATAGAACGTGGATTCGTGGAAATTTGTGAATCTTATCTCAAAACATTTTTTCAGGAAAAACTGGATTCTGCCAAAATTTGTGGAATATCCCATATTATTTTCAGCAAAGTATAATATCTGAACCGCCTAAATCCGACACAATCTGCATATATATTGCGGAAAAATCGGATATATCATAGTTCGAATATTCAGATCAAAACGATTTTTTCAACTATGGTTCCAGGTATGAGTCCTAGATTAGGGTCAGGTCTGTATTATGGTTATCTCTAAGAAGAAGCACCTGACGCTGCTTTGCAGGCTGATCAGGATTGTATCTTTTTATTTTGACAAAAGAAATTAATTCTACTTTTACCAAAAAAACCTCATCTAAGACTAGTCTCAGACAACACAAAACGCACACAAAGTGCCTGCTGGAAATTGTACTAAAACATAGAAAATAGATATTAATACTTTGATGTACTGGTATTTTGTTTTTGGAGACAAGTCAGACAACAAACTGGAGTGCTTGGAAGAACCTATAAGATACTCAATGGGGTTGATTTCACAAATATATATAAAAACGAGCTAGTTGTGGGGAAAAAAAAACAACAGAGCAACCCCAATGCTCTCTGCAATAGAAATCGCCTTTGGGAAATTTTCCACTCAGCGACAAAATCAATAAAAAATAGTATCCAACATAGTAATTACCATCAACCATCTTCTTAGATTCAGATACATTTTGGAATTGAGATAACTCAAGAAGTGCTCCTCCCCACTTTGTAAGGTTCTGCAAAAACAACAAAAGTGCAACTGTAATATGGAAAAATAACTTAAAAACTAATTTTTTTTAAAAAAAAGTAACAAACAATCAGCAGAAAATTCACAAATTTACTTATAAAAAAGATAACAGGATCCACAACAATCAATCTACTGAGGGTTTTTACAAAATTTAGATACAAACATAATAAAGATGGGATTTTTAAGCAAACATAAATCGAATAAAGAGATCAAAGAAAGAGTTGGTACGAACGTCTGGGTCAAGAGGATTCTCGGCATAGGTAATCTCAGCAGACTTACGAGCCATCTCGAAAAAAAAGTAACGGTCAGCATCATTCTCTTGCAAATCCATAACTTCTTCTGCTTCTTGGATTCTTTGAAAATCCAATTCTTCTTCTTCCTCAAAACAATCTCTCTGTTTCTCTCTCTCTTTCTTTGAAGTTTCTTTTGTGTGTTTTGGCGAGTTTTATCGGGCTAGGGCTTGTGAATTCTTCCACCTAAGGGCAAAAAATTCTCAAGAAACTGTAAGAGAACCCGCAGCCACGTCAGCAAATTTTAACTAAATTTCCAATTATATCCCTGAAATCTTATATTGTATCAACTAGTCCATGCCAATGTCAATCAACCATTTTTATCCTATAGGTCTACATGGATATGGTATCATCCAGGGGCGGATCCAGGGGG